CTCTCATTTATACAGTAATGAGATATTTATTTAATCAAGGTGAGTAGATATAGGTCAAGTTTTAAATGTTACGAACCAACTTGGAGATGTTAAGTTTTGGTCATTTTATATGTTAAAGACTAGATGCATAATGTATAGAAGAGAACACCCATTATTATTTTGTATATATTAAACAGGTAGTTTTAACTGTATAAATGTAAGTTTAAATCTTATAGCATATCATTATTAGATATATATGTTATAACCTAAGACAATAGGTCTTTACTCTTTCCAAACTGATTACTGAAAATATGTTATAAGGCAACATTTAACTTTTTTATTTTGAGACAGGGTCTCACTATATAGTGCAGGGTAGCCTCAAACTTAGAGGGATCCTCCTGCCTTCCAAGTACTGGGATTACAGGCATGCATCACCATGCTCAGCATTGATTTAACTTTTTTTGGGCAGGACCGGGGATTGAACTCAGACCCTTGTGCTTGCCAGGCAAGCGCTTATTCTACTGAGCCATCTTCCCGGCCCCCCAATTGATTTAACTTTTAAAAGTCAATTTAGGGCATGGCTGTGGGTGCCAGACCAGGGATAGAACTTGGGACCTTGTGCTCTGCAGCCCAATTTTTGTTTTTTTAGAGACAGTGTCTCACTCTCTAGTTCAGCCTGGCCATGAACTCACTATGTAGCCCAGGCTGACCTTGAACTCAGTGATCCTTCTGCCTCAGCCTCCTGAGTGTTGAAATTACAGGCAGGCACCATCACACCTGGTTAAAAGTCAACTTCAGGGGGTTGGGGAGATAGCTCAGTAGACTAAGCACTTCCCTGGCAAGCACAAGGGCCTGAGTTCAATCCCCGGTTCCACCCCACCCCCCAAAAAAAGTCAACTTCAGTAACCAAATGTTAACACCTTTTAAGTTATGTATATTATCTTTTGGGCCCGGGGAGATAGCTCAGTAGAATAAGTGCTTGCCTGGCAAGTGCAAGGTCCTGAGTTCAATCCCCAGTACTGGGGTGGGGGGGAGCTATATAATCTTTTAACAGAAAATATAAAAAACTAAATACAGGATCCTTGCTTTAAATCTAGTTTTGGGGGGCTGGAGAGATGGCTCAGTGGTCTAAAGCACCTACTTGGAACAAGCTTGGCAAAGCACAGGGACCACGGTTCGATCCCCCAGTACCACATGCCAGCTAGCTGCGCCCCCTGGTGGGCTGAGCTGCCCCCCCCAAAAAAAAAAAGGTAAAAAAAAATAAATCTAGTTTTATAAGTTTACCAAAGAGCATCTTAATATCTTTTTATTTTATTTGTGTGTGTGTGTGTGTGTGTGTGTGTGTGTGGCCAGCTCAGCCCACCAGGGGGCGGGGCTGGCTGGCATGTGCTGGGGGATTGAACCGCAGTCCCTGTGCTTTGCTAAGCTTGTTCTAAATAGGTGCTTTAGACCACTGAGCCATCTCACCAGCCCCGCATCTTAATATCTTAAAGCCTTAATTTTTTAGACATGAAGAATTTAATCTTTTCATCATGTCCAACTTAAATATATTGCAATAATATATTTAATAGTACTTATTGGGGTGTGACACTGTAAAAGTTTGTGAGGAAAACCCAGAAAGTTTCATCTGTGGACAAAGCTGAACAAACTGGTTCAGACAGTTGCTCTTTTATCCAGACGGGAGTCTCATGTCATAATATTTTTAACCCCAAGGTGTCCCCATTTATCTTTTTAAATTTAATTTTCCCACTTACTTGACAGTTATCTTAGATGACTTATAAGAAACAAATTGTAATAGTTAATACCATTTAAGCTATGTATATTTTAACCAAGGAAAACTTTGAAGTGATTGTATATAGACACAAATAGGCATTGTATTTATAAAACCAACTTTTTTTTTTAATTTATGAGTTTTCAGAGACTGTCCCAGGGCCAGAAAGTCTCCCTGGGGAAATGGTTTCCAAAAACTCTGGTTCCTATGATTTTTTAAAAAATATTTATTTATTTATTTGTGTGTGTGGCCAGCTCTGCCCACCAGGGGGCAGGGCTGGCTGGCATGTGGTGCTGGGGGATTGAACTGTGGTCCCTGTGCGTTGCGAAGCTTGTTCTAAGTAGGTACTTTAGACCACTGAGCCATCTCATCAGCCCTAAAACCAACTTTTGATACCATTTTGGTTGGCTAACAACTTGGATGGAAACATGCCACCAACTTCAAAAACTACTCTTACCAACTGATTTAAATAAGTCTACTGTTAAGCTTTGTGAACCATAAGCATTTGAGCTAATATCGCAAGTGTCTATTGCTAAGCCAATTTAAGTAGAACTTTTGGAGGATGATATATACCTGAAAACATACATATCAACCTAAGCCATATGTGGACTTTGTATTATCAAAATTTAAAGTTTTTATGTGTAAATCACATGTAAGAATACAAATAAATTGTTAAGCTAAGAATATTTTGTGAAAAATTACAACAAAATTTTATAGTCAAATAATAATTTATTTTTAATTTATGTATTTGGTACAGGGTCTCACTATGCAGTGTGGACTCAGTGATCCTTCTGTTTCATTTTTTTATTTTGTATTTTTTTGGCAGTACCGGGAATCCTTCTGTTTCAGCATCCCCAGTGCTAGGATTACAGGCATGCACCACTATGCCCAGTTTCAGTGGCCGGCACGGCATGAGGTACCAGGGATGGAACCCAGGTCCTTCCTGACCTATCTCTGCATCCCTAAGCTGTGTATTCTTATCTTTAAAGTTGTTACTCAGAGTCCAGCACAAACCAAGCTGGGCGTGGTGGTGCACACCTGTAATCCCAGTGCTGGGGAGGCTGCAAACAGGAGGATCACTATGAGTCAGAACTGCAAAGTGAGACCCTGTACCAAATACATACATACAAAAAAAAATTCCCTAATTGCTGGGCATAATAGCATATACCTCTAATCCCAGCACTTGGAAGGCTAAGGCAGGAGGATCACTGTGAGTTTGAGACCATCCTGAACTACATAGTTCAAGTCCAGCCAGAATTACATAGCAATTACCTGTTTCAAAAAAAAAAAAAAAAAAAAGATCCCATAATTACATTGACACATTTTTTTTTCTTTCTTTTTGGGTACTAGGAATTGAATTCAGCATCTCACACTTGCCAAGCAGGTGCTATGCCCCTGAACTATATCACTAGCCCAGCAGATTTATTTCTGAAGCAGCTTTGTTTTTTGATCACTATGTACCTCAGGCTGGCCTTGAACTCACTACGTTGTCCAGGCTCGCCTCCAACTCAAGTGCTCCTCTTGCTTTATCTCCCAAGTGCTGGGATACAGGTGTGTGCCATTTTAAAATTTATAAAGATACACCACAGATACCGCCCTCATTTCTAAAATCCTTGTTTCCATTTTTCTTTCCTCTTTTCTTTTCCCCTCTTTTCCTTTCTTTCCCCCTCCCACTCCCCACTTGAATGTTTTCTTCCTATTTCAGAGTGTTGACGAAGGGGTATTTTCACACTGACGTTTGTAGAGCCAACACTTGGTGAAAGGCTGTTTAAGCTAGTACCTGTGGAAGAACCTCTTCCTCACCAAGATTTCTACAAAGAAAGGCCTTGCCAGGCACAGTGGTACATACCTGTAACCTGTGCAGTCCTGAAGTCCCTTAGATGGCCCTCCAAAGCTTCATGACCATAGGCAGGGCTTCTGGGAGGCGACTGGATTGTGGGGGCTTGATACTCATCAGTGGTGGTGAACTTAGCATGCGGGCCACAGTGGACACTTATCGCGCAAAGCTCTAAAAGGTTCACTATCACGGAGTTATAGGGGCTTTTCTGGGGGACCAGGAATTGAACTCGGGACCTTGTGCTTGCCAGGCAGGTGCTGCACTGCTGAGCAACATCCCCAACCCTACAGGGGCTTGAGACATAGTTTCACTATGTAATTCAGACTGGCCTTACAGTAACTATGTAGCCCAGGCTGACTTGTATCCTACATTAGCCTTTATTGTGATCCTCCTGCCTCAGCCTCCTGCGTGGTAGGATTACACATGTGCACTACGAGGCCCAGCACTGATGAGTTTATAGCTACATACCATGTTGGCAGGTGAAGCTTGGTGAAGAAGGTAGGCCGCTGGGGTGTGGCCTGGAAGAGTACAGCTCTACTTGCTTCCTGCCATCATGTCGTGAACCGTCCCCGCTCTGGCACATCTTTCTGCTGTGCTGCCCTGCCTTGGAACCAGTTGAATATGGACTGAAACCTCTCTAAACTCTGAGGCAGAAATAACCCTTTCTCCTTAGAGTTATGAGAGTTGGTATTGTGTCTCAGCGACAAGAAAGTAACTTAGAGGCTGAGGCAGAAGGATCATAAGTTCAAGTCCAGCCTGAACAATTCACTGACTCATCTCAAAAAGTAAAAAGGGGTAGGAATGTAGCTCAGTGTGAAGGCCCTGGGTTTAATCCCCAGTCCCAGAAAACAAAACAATTCAATAAGAAGTTAGTGCTAAATGGCTATTATGTGCCATGTACTTCTATGTTAAAGAAAATAGAGCGAATGGTACGTGTCCTAGCAGATCTGATCTAACGTTTAACAGTATTGTTTAGGAAATTACTTTATGACTGTCATATACCAGTTTGTCAATGTGGTGCCCAAGCTGGATGTGGTCCCAGCACTCAGGAAGATGAGGCAGGATTGCTGTGAGTTCAAGGTCAGCCTGGGCTACACAGTGAGACCTTGTCTCAATACTTTCAGGAACACGAATAGTGTGAGCTGAGATTTGGCTTCACTAAAGATGGTTTCTCAATTAACTTATGAGATGTATTAAGCATTAAAAGTCACTCTGGGAAGAATGGGAATACAGGTTAACAAGGGTCCGCTTGACTTATCTTTGAAAACTATGGACAAAACCCCGGCTATAGCATCAACTAACCTATACCCACCCTGTTTTATTTTATTTTTTAAAGAGTACAAATTAAAAGTGATACAGAATTTCACTTAACAAAGTAATACGAATTTCCCAGTATTTGTTGTAATATAGTGTTGTCTTCACCCACCCCTATTTTACACTTACAAATCCACACTGACAGTTCGCAAAATACAAGGACTATTAAATACCTTTAAGGTAAATAAATTGTATACAATCTTATCTTTCACATAATTTTATTTTCTCCCTTCAACCATAATAATATGATATCCAAACTTTGTCTTAATTGGTGGGTCTGTAAACACAGGCTTATCCATTCCACTCACAGGCAAGGCAAATGCTGCTTCTTGAAATGGTCCTACCATGGAGCCTCTGGTCATCCAACCCAAGTCACCCTGAAAAACCACAAAAATATGTGATTAAAAGTGGCCCTGGAAAGGAGAGATCTTCTGCAGCTTGAGAGAACTTCCCACCATGAACACTGAGGTTACTGCAGTATTCCCTCGGGCCAGGCAGGAACTGGCTGAGCACAGGCAAAGTGGGTGGAAGAAGCCTCACCCTGATTCCACAGCACTCCCCAACCTGGACTTGGCTGGATTTGGTGCTCAGCTGTGAAGTCTGGCCACACCTCAATTTACACACAGGGAACTCACTCAACTATTTACATGCTGGATATTTTTTTCTTTTTTATAAGCAACTACAGAAGTTCAGGAAGATTTATTCATGAATATAAAGAAAGATAATGAATCCATAAAAAGCACTTACATGATCTTTTATAAAAACTGAAACGGAATAGGGATTAAATCCAAAGTGTAACGTAACCACATTGGGGAGAAGGAGGAAAGTAAAGGGAGAGTTTGATGGGCTGGAAAATCCACTGTCCTTTTATGAACTGACAGAAATATATGCATTTTATTGCAGGAGATATATGCAGTAGTTTGAGGAACAGAATTTGCTATTACAGGCAAAGCAGACAGGTATATGCAGCATTTCATTATAAGCCTTTTTTTTTTTAAAAAGAGCTACTTTATATTTTATGGATTTTTTTCTGTTTTGGTTTTTATTTATTTTTATTTATTTATTTATTTTAATTTTATTTATTTATGTGTGTGTGTGCGCGTGCGTGGCCAGCTCAGCCCACCAGGGGGCGGGGCTGGCTGGCATGTGGTGCTGGGGGATTGAACCGCGGTCCCTGTGCTTTGCTAAGCTTGTTCTAAGTCCAAGTAGGTGCTCTAGACCACCGAGCCATCTCACCAGCCCCTGTTTTGGTTTTTAGACACAAGTTTTGCTCTTTTTTAAAAAAAATGTATTTGGTACAGGGTCTCACTATGCAGCTTGGACTCGCAGCAATCCTGTTTTCAGCCTCCCTAGTGCTGGGATTACAGGCATGTGCCACCACACTGGGTCTCAGTGGCTGGCTCGGCATGGCCAGGGGTGGGGCTGGCACGGCATGTGATGCTGGGGATTGAACCCCGGTCCCTGCGCTTGCCTAAGCAGGCACTTAGGCCGCTGAGCTATCTTGCCAGCCCAAGTTTTGCTCTTTAATTAAGGCTGGACTTGATGTGGCCCAAGCTGGCCTGGAATTCATGGCATGCTCCTGCCTCAACCTCCCCGCCTAGTGCTGGGATTATAGGTATGTGCCACCATACCTGGCTATTTTATAGATATTTATAACTTATATACAGGGCTGGGAGATAGCTCAGTATAATAAGTGCTTGCCTGGCAAGTGCAGGGTCCTGAGATCAATCCCCAGTACCGAGAAAAAAAAAAAAAGTATAACATATACATCCAGGATGAGATAAAGCTAAAAGAAGATGATGACATACCCATATCTAAAGAAAACATCTCTTTAAAAGTATTACTATTTTTTGGTACTTGTTATGGTTTGTGTCTAGGTGTCCCCCAAAGCCTCTTGCAGTCTTGGGGTGGTTTCTGGAGTTTGTGGTTGAGTACTGTGGGTGTGGATGCTGCACCTGCCCGGCAGGTAATCTGCATTACAATGTAAGGTGGGAGAAGAAGCCAGCTGCTTCAGCTGCCAGCTGCTGCTACCTCTCCTTTTTGCACTCTTGCTCTTTGCCGCCACCATGAAAGCTTGCCCTCTGCCGTGTGCCGCTCTGCCTTGGAGCCAGCTGAGTATAGACTGAAACCTCCAGGAACCGTGAGCTAAATAAACTTTTTCTTCCTTCCTTTTGGGTGTCAGGTATTTGTCCCAGCAATGAGAGAAGAGTAACTAAGACAGTACTGGAGATTGAACTCAGGACCTTGTGCTTGCCAGGCAGGCAGGCGTTTATGTCGATGAGCTATAGCTCCAGCCCCTAAAAAGATTATTGATAGTACTACTAATAAACCATTTAATTTTTCAGTTTTTATAAAGCTTCTGTTTTAAAGATTAATTTCAAAAGTACTTATAAACAAATGAGACATGACTAAACCATTTAAAGTTTTCAAATAAATCATTTTAATACCTACCTTTGTATAGGATTACAACAGCATAATTGTTTTTTTTTTTTAAAAAACAGGATTTAAAATTTTGTGTGTGTGTGTGTGTGTGTGTGTGTGTGTGTGTGTGTGTGGCCAGTTCCACCAGGGGGCAGGGCTGGCTGGCATGTGGTGCTGGGGGATTGAACTGCGATCCCTGTGATTTGCCAAGCTTGTTCTAAGTAGGTGCTTTAGACCACTGAGCCATCTCACCAGCCCCAGCATAATTGTTTTGTTTTTATTACAATGTTATTTTCTTGTAGTTTTTTTTTTAATGTGTTTAGTACAGGGTCTACAGAGTCTCACTACATAGATCAGACTCGTAGTGATTCTCCTGTTTTCAGCCTCCCAAGTGCTGGGATTATAGGCACATGCCATCTCAGCAAGCCCTGGGGGTGGGGCCAGCAAGACGCCCCCCAGCCACTGTGTTCTGCCTAAGTGCTTTAGTCCACTGAGCTATCTGGCCAGCCCACAATGTTATTTTCAAGATTGATTATTACTAATAAATGTTAGTTTGTTTTTTTTTAATGTTAGTTTTTAATATAAGTAGAGTATCTCTTATCCAAAATACTTGGGACCAGCCAAGTATTTGAGGCCAGCCTGGGCTGCACAGTGAGCTCAAGGCCAGCCTGAACTACATAGCAAGACCCTGTCTCAAACAACAACAACAAAAACTAAAACAAAAAATTGGGACCTGAAGTATTTTGAATTTGGGGATATGTACATGTACGTGGTGTGATATTTTGTCTAAACCTGTCTAAACATGAGATCCATTTATGTTGCATATATACCTATGTATATAACCTGAAGACTATTTGATACAATTTTCATAATATGCATGAATTGTTGCATAGTATGGAATTTTCCACTTGAGGCATCAAATGGGTACTCAACGTTTTGGGCTTCAGAGCTTTTTGGATTTTTAGATTAGATATGTTAAGTCTGTATTATGCCAAGGCAAGGTAGAAACAAAATTTTTTGTTGTACTGGGAAATGAACTCAGGCTTTAACACTGAGCTATGTCCTTGATGTAATGTTTTTTGTTTTAAATTTTGAAACAGGTTCTAGCTAAACCATTAAGTTGTCCAGGCTGGGCTTGAACTTGCAGTTCTCTTGCCTCAGCCTTCCAGTGCTAGGATTATGAGTGTGTCATCACACCTAGCTTAATATATAACTTAAAAAATATTTTTCTTTTTTTTTTGGCAGAACTGGGGATTGAACTCAGGCCCTTGCACTTGCCAGGGAAGCGCTTATTCCACTGAGCAAAAAATAATTTTTCATCTTTCATTTTTTTTGAGGGGGGTCTTTTCGAGACAAGATTTCACTATGCAGGTTGGGCTGGCCTCTAACTCACAGCAGTCCTCCTGCCTCAGCCTCCCAAGTACATGCACTACCATGCCCGACACTGTGTACTATTTTATAGTTTAAAAAAACTATTTGGTATGAGTGTTCTCTAAGGGAATAATTAGAATTTATACTGTAGATCTTTATTTTACTGATATTTGCATGCTACAACTCTAATCATTAAATTCTTCCTCATTAGAGAAGCACGTGTTCTTTATCCTTGGTTGGGTGCCTCAAATCTCCTGAGGGTGAGGGGCCCCTGCGCTGTGGCCATTTGTTTTGCTCTTCTATCTTGGCTTGTTGGTCTGCGATGGTCTCACTGAGACTGTCAAGAGCAGGGTCCTTCCCTTCATGTCACTTTCTCCTACTTGTTCAAATTCTTCTGCTTCAGTGATTTCCTTTCTCTTCTTTTCTTTCTTCTCTGGAGGCTCACGTTCTCCAAGCATACTTTTTGCATACACATAACTTAAATGTCCACTTTTCCCATATTCGTAACACTTAGATTTATCAAAGTAGTTCTGTCCTCAGATGAATTCAGCTGCTCTTGCATTGTCAATACTAATGCTTGCTTTGTCACTCAACAAACGTTTGCTTTTTATGGTTCTGGTGAAGTTTTATGTAGTCTCTACCCAAAAAAATAAATGCAACCCCTTTACTCTTCCTGTATCTTTACCTCATTCTAGTAACCCTCACAACTTCACCATACTTGGGAAATATCCAGCATAAGTTACTGTTCATCAGAGACAAGGGCAAGTTGAGCACACACACTGTGCTTACTCAGAGCTGAGCCGCTATCGTTTCTTCAGGCATGGCGGGCACTGGCAGGGGGTGGGGCTCAACCCTGACTTTTCCTTGCTTTTCCCAGTGGGCTTAGCATCCCATGCCTCCCCCCAGAGGGGCGGTCAGCACAGAGATCAGGTGGTAACAGCTTGGACTTCCTTTTCTTTCTTTCCTTGGTGGGGGGGTGGGGGGGTGGGGGAGTGGGGTGGGGGAGGTTGGAGGGGTGGAGGAAGAGGCTAGAACCCAAAGCCTTGCATGTGCTAGGCACTACCACTGAGCTGTATCTCTAGTCCTATGAGTTGGATATTTTTACTTTTAAGATTTGGGGGACAGGTTGAGACAGAGACTCACTATGTAGTTCAGGCTGGCCTTAAATTCATGGCAATCCTGTCTCAGTTTCACAAGTACTGAGATTACAGGTGTGTGCCACCATGCCCAGCTGAGATTTTTTTTTTATAGCAATGAGGTTTGAATTCAGGGCCTTGGGCTGGGGAGATAGCTCAGTGGTCTAAGAGCCTTCCTGGCAAGCACAAGGACCTGGGTTCAATCCCCTGTACCCTATGCTGTGCTGGTCCCAGGTACCATGCCGGCTACTAAAACTGGGCATGGTAGCGCGTGCCTGTAATCCCAGCACTGGGGAGGCTGACACAGGATAATCAGTATGAGTTTGCACTGTGTAGCAAGACCCTGTACCAAACAAATAAATAGAGAAATATAGATATGAAATAAAAGCCTAATGTCCCAAGGGAACAGGGAGCAATAGATAGAGCCCAGGGAGAGCTGCTGTCTCTCACTTGTAAATCCCGGCAAGCTGGGATTCAAGGCTGCAGATAACAGCTTCTCCTGCTGCGCCCTGTGCTTTGATCCCTTGCTTGGGATGTTATCAGCTAGCATTTGTGTAAAGCTAGTGTTAGGCAAATGGTGGAAGTCGATAGAGATAGTAGTTTGTGTTCACTGAAGTAATTATGCACATTCCTTAGCCTTCTTTTTATTTTTTTTAATCTTTTTTTAAAAAAATATTTATTTATTTATATTGTGTGTGTGTGGCCAGCTCAGTCCACCAGGGGGCGGGGCTGGCTGGCATGTGGTGCTAGGGGATTGAACCGCGGCCCCTGTGCTTTGTTTAGCTTAGCTTGTTCTAAGTAGGTGCTTTAGACCACTGAGCCATCTCACCAGCCCCCTTAGCCTTCTTTAGCCCTCAATAAAAGTGAGATGCTTCCCAGGCTCTGGGCTCCCTTGGAGAGAGACTAATCTCAGTGAGACCTCTGAGGCTATCTTCATCAGGTCTTCTCGTCGTTTTTTCCCCACTGACTCATAACATGGAACAAATAAGATTTAGGAAAAAAAAAATTCAGGGCCTTTTCCCTGAGCTACATCCCCAGCCCTTTTTTAATTTTGAGACAGGGACTTGCTAAGTCATAAAGTTGCCCAGGTTGGGCTCAAACTTGCAACCCTCCTGACTCTGTTTCCCAGAGTACTTTTAAGATCTTTAAAATAAGACATAGTTAAAATTAGTGGTAAAACGTAGAAGTAACTCCTGCTGTTGTGTTTCCTCTGTGGAGGACAGCAACGTTTAAATGGTAAGGGCAACATACCCCTTGCCTGGCTTTATCTTCACTATATTGTGCGGCCACTTCACTGAATCTCATCCCGGACTTTAACTTTTCCATGGCTTCCATAATCTTGCTGTGTTTTTCACACAGAATATGTCGGACCTACAAATAAAAAACATATTCATGTAACACCTGGAGATTCAAAGGATTCTTCTCAGTATACCGGTTAATTCGAATTATCTCACCAGCCAGGCGTGGCAGCATATACCTGTAATTCCAGAAGTTGGGAGGCTGAGGCACGAGGATTTCTGTGAGTTTGAGGCCAGCCTGGGCTTATTTAGTGAGTTCAAAGCCAGCCTGAACTACATAGGGAGACCCTGTCTCAAAAAACAAACAAACAAACAAAAAAATGAATTATACTCACCAGTTGAAAAAAAAAAACCAAAACACCCACACACATTAGCTTGGGGCAACTGAAAATTCTACAAATTTGCCTACTTGGGTCACTGTCACAAATGTATTTACTGAATCTAGACAGTATCTCAGAATCCTGATTTAGCTAGATGTGATGGCACATGCCCATAATCCCAGTGTAGTAAGTCCCCAACCTACAAAGATTTGAGTTGCAAATTTTTATATATGAATGGACCTCACACTGTGAGCATTCAGAGAGGTTAACAAATGGAAGTAGCTCACATATCTGCAAACAGTCACTTAGCTGTGTACTCACTGTGCAGTGTGATAATATACAGCGTTCTTTATGCTTTACATTGTATATTTGTATCAAAGATATATAATATGTTGTCAGACTTACAAATTAACCCGAGTAGGACTGTTCTTCTGGAATGGGACTCATAAACTGGGGACTTATGTACGCTGCAAGGCTCAGGAGGCAGGAGGACCACAAGTTATAGCCCATCTGGGGCAACTGACCTCCGTGTGAGAGGCCTAGGTTCACTCCCCACTACTGGGGGTAAAGAAGGAATCTCACATGCAAAACAGGCCCTGGGCTGTGGGAAGTTCTCATCTCTAACCATATACCTCAGTGGTACCAGGAAAAGCACGCACGTCATGGCTCAGAGTCCACCATGAATGTTGGTCCTATCGCCCAATCTCCACTGTGATTATGACCTAGGGGATGGTTTTAAATCTCCAAATGTTTCCTCGTTTGTGTAAAGACTGAGATAATGTAGCTAATAGTCAAATGCTGGCTATTATTCAATCAGAGTTCGAATATAGAGGCTTAATGTATAAAGCCATCTATAATTTACTTTCTAGAATTTTGTCTTTTTTTGAGACAGGGTCTTGCTATGCAGTTCAGGCTGGACTTGAATTTATTTTGTTGCCCAGGCTTATCTCAAACTCTGAAATCCTCTTGCTACCATGCCCATCTAAGCCACCCATAATTTAACAGTTTTTTTTTTTTTTGGTGGTAGTGGGGAGTGAATAGGACCTTCATACTGAGTTATAGCTCTAGTCCTTTTTATAAAAATTTCACTAAATTGCTGAATTGAGCAGGCTGGCCATCTTTCTACCTCTGCTTCCCAGATTGCTGGGAATGCAGCCCTATCCCACCATATCTGGCTAACTTAACACTTTACAAAGCATTCACATGTTGAATATTAAGAATACTCAATGCCACAGACATATTCAATATGACCTTGCTTACATGAGTCATAGTTGGTTTTTTTTGCAGTACCAGGGTTCAAACTCAGGACCTTGCACTTACCAGGCAGGTGCTGAAGCTGCTGAGCTATCTCCCTGGCCCTAGTCATAGTTTTTTGTTTGTTTGTTTGTTTTACATGCTGTATCCTACAAATGATTTTGTCACAGTATCTTTTTTTTTTTTTTTTTTTTTTTTTTTTTGGTGGAACCGGGGATTGAATTCAGGTCCTTGTGCTTGCCAGGGAAGCGCTTATTCCACTGAGCCATCTCCCAGGCCCCACAGTATCTATTTTAGAAGGCTTCTCATTTTTCATTAAAATACAGTTATTTGTGTTACACTGTGTTATGCTGGAGCAGGGTCTAAAGATTCTTCCTCATACGTTAGAGACAAATGTCTTCAGGGCTACTGAAATGGCAGGTGGGACTAGATGGAAATTCTCCTTGGCCCCAGGAACAATTTTCTGACTAGTGGAAGTATACAGGAGGTATGAATACATCGAAGGAAAGATGTGTCCAATACAGCTCAGAGTCAAGCCTCTGTGGTATGTATTCAGCTCTGTCCAAGGGAGAGACAGCAAACAATCTGGATAGCAGAGTGACAGCTGGTTGGGGGACAAGAATGGCTCATCAGACCTCATCTTGGCCTGGCTGAAGCTTTTAGACTGCCCCTCTCTTCTTTCTCACTCGAGAAGCAACCTTCTTCCATCTCAGTAGGAAAGAACACATGCCATTCAGGACCACAGAAAGGGGCTACTACCTGCCATCTTATCAATGAAGAAGCTACCATTGAGGCTTGAACAGTGTGATATAGTACCTGGGTGGTGTGTAAGGGTGATAACCAATTGGCAACTGTGTCTTGGAGCAAGCCAAGAGACAGCTAATGTTAGGAGTGCTAAGCACAGAGGAGGTAGCTGAACATGTTAGGGGGGGGCACTTAGTCCTGAGAGACTGCACAATGAGAGGAGGAGGGAAGAGCCTCAAGACAACCGTGGAGAATATCAATGTTTAGGCAACAAGCAAAGCAAAAAGTTCAAAAAATGTAACAAAAGTAAAGGCCAAGTACCTAGTAGAGAAAGGTGTTAGAAATCAAGACAGGAAAAAAATCGGGGCTATGGATATAGCTCAGTGGTACAGCTCGCCTTAGCACGCACATGGCCCCAGTTTCTGTCCCCAGCACCCCAAAAACAAGCAAATGAGCAGACACATACACAAGGCATGAGAAAGTCTCACAGAGTAAATAGAAATAGCTAAGGGGGCCCACTTGATGGCATGTAATGGCAAAACTGTAAAATTCTACACCTTGAAGCTATACAAAATTAAAAATTAAAAATATTGGGAAAAAAGTAGCTAAAGGGGGGTAAGTGTGGCAGAGATATCAAGTAAGAAGAACAAGACACTTAATAACAACAACTGGCATGGGGATTTAACTCAGCAGTCGAGCCCTTGTCTAGGACGCATGAGGCCCTGGAGCATTGTAGCTGGGTGTGGTGGTGCACCTGTAATCCACCACTCAGGAGGCTAAGGCAGGAGGACTGTGGCAAATTCAAGGACAGCCTATGTTATTACTATGCTATAATGAGATCAAGGCCTATTTGAACTATTCATTGATTCTATCTCAAAAAAAAAATCTCAGCATTGAAAAAAAAGCAATGATTGGTTAGTAAAAGGAGTTTCAGAAATGTTGGGTACGGTGGCACATACCTGTAATCCTAACACTCTGGAAGGCTGTGACAGGAAGATTGAAAGTTCTAGCCTAGGCTGGGCAACTTTAGTGATGCCTTGTCTCAAAAAATAAAGGGTTGGAGATGTAGCTCAGGATAAAGGTCCTGGGGGGTATGAGTCAGGACACAGGCTGAGGGAACAGGAAGTGGAAAGGTAACCTACAGTGTTGGGTACTCATCCAACCAATTTACTTTAAAAACGCATGGCAGCTGGGTGTGGCACACACCGGTGATCCCTGCACTTGGGAAGCTGAGGAAGGAAGATCAGAGCTGGGTTAAGGCCAGCCTGGGCTACACAGTGAGTTCAGGCCAGCCTAAACTACAAAGTAAGACCTTGTTTCAAAAAAAAAAAAAGAAGGTTCTGCTTAGGGGAAAGATCGAAGTAGTATAGACTTTAAAGATCCCTGAGCATATTTTGAGAATGAAAGGGAAGATCTAGTACGGCATGGGTAAAGACAGAGCAAGGAAAGAAGGGTGAAAATCAATGAGGCCTAGTATGTGGAATACTGAAAGATGAGCTTTAAAGGAAGAAAGGTAGCGAGAGAGTAAGGAGGCATGAGTGACCATGTTGTTTGACAGGAGCCCGAAGGCCACAAAGTGCTTGACTTCTGGTAAATGTTTTTTTTTTTTTAAAGTATGAGACAGGGTCTAAACTGCCTAGGCTGGGGCTGAACTTGGAATCTTTTGTCTCAGCCTTCCAGAATGCTGGGATCACAAGTGCGTGCCATCAGTCCCAGGCTAAAATATTTATTAAAATATTAAGTGGATGATAAATTATTCAATGTGATAAACACATTACTCAGTTAAAGACTAGGTAATTTAAATATTATGAAAATATTGTGAGAGGCTAGGTGCGAGACTGCACACCTGTAATCTCAGCACTCAGGAGGCTGAGGCAGGATTTTGAGTTCCAGGCCAGTTTGAGCAGAGTTCCAAGTCAACCTGGGCTATACAGTGAGACCCTATCTGGAAAATATTGTGAAAATAATAAAAATATTTAAAACTTATCAGTTACCATTTGATAAGCACTGTACTAAGTAAGTGCTTCATATGAATTACCTCATTACATTCTCACCAACCTCAGGAGACTAGATCAGCGTTTTTCAACACTACAAGCACATCTCAATTGTCTCCAGAGTTTCTAAAAAAGATATCAAGGTCCAAGCTGGGTGTGGCTGCACATGCTTGTAATCCCAGCACCTTGGAGGCTGAGGCACATGAACTACACAGCAAGAGCCTGTCTCAAAAGACACCAACAAACAAACAAACAAACAAACAAACAAACAAAAAAAGGTTCAAGGGTCCAAGCCCTGTTCCCAAAGACTTATGCTGTCGATCTAGGGTAATAGTGGCAAATATATGGCACAAATGACACAGTGGGCTTTTTTTTTTTTTTTTTGCAGTACTGGGGATTGAACTCAGGACCTTGCACTTCCCAGGTAAGTGCTTATTCTACTGAGCTATTTCCCCGGCCCCAGGAGTGGGCTATTTCTATCACTGAAATATCTAAAAGGTTCACCCTCACTTATGGTGTAAGCCTCCATATTAGTAAGTTTTAGAAGTTCTCCAGGTGAACTGATGATTTCAACTCCAAACAGTCAAGGCTAAGAGCCACTTTGCCAAGTCTCTGCTGACTGATCACAGCAGGGTGGTGGACAGCTTGAAGCAGTGGTGAAGGCCTGCTGAGCAGGCTGAGGGACAAGCTGAAGTCAGAGGCCAGGCGTTAATAACCCCAAACCCCAAGGATATGGGGGTCTCCAAAGGGCCCAACAGTCT